TAACTACACATGTTGAAAATGTGAATAGCAAAGCCCTTGTAATGTGTAACGAAAACAAAAAGATTCAGCTCCAGAGAATCTCATATCCATTCAATGCTGTGGAGCAAAGACTCTTAAGATATCAGGCAGAAAATTTGATATGCCAACAGACATGCCAAAAAGTTGAGAGACGAGAAACATAAAAGAGTGGAAAACAAGGGATACAGATGGGCAGATTCCAATACAAGGCCATGTTAATCACATGAGATATAACAATTGCAAAACCAAGTGAACAACAAGCAGTTGGATTGATGGAACAAGTTTGGTGTAATTTAGTTCACAAACTGGCTGAAATTCATTAAGTATAATTCAACTTCAAATGTTAATCAAAATGATGCAAAAATTTAAAGTAAGGACCAGAAAACTCATTATTCTGTCATAAATATCTCAGCAAAAGTAAAACCATCCACAAGCTTGAAGACAAGCCATTATGCATTGTTCACAGTATTAACAAAAGCTTGAAATTGTGCAACTAAGAAAAATAACAATAATAACCTGTGCCAACCTCCCCAAAGCAAAGGCTGACATCTCTTTCAGCTGTACATCTGGAGAGTGAAGCATATCAATCAACGGTCTGACAGCACCCCTTTGTACGATATGAACCTGCAATATGTCAGCAGTATATGTCAAAACAATAAACAATGAAAATTAAGATAAAGTGAAATGATAAGTGGTAAAGCATGGAGACCGGAGCTCCTCTTATTCCATTACAAGGACAAAGGAAATGATACAGAAAGCCAATTCATTCAAAATATTAGGACAACAATTTCAAAGCCAATCATTGTTTTTTCTTCCTGTGTCCCCTAAATAGACAAATAGAGCCAGGAAGAAGTCTCTTAAGCCTAGTAAACTATAAAGAGAGAAGAAAGTAATTACCTTGCAATCGGAATCCGTTGCAGCAAATTGTCCAAGTAATAAAGCTGCCTCCCTTTGGCTCTCCGAGCAGCAGGAGCTGTTTTCCAATGAAACAAATAACTAAATAAAAGTGGAGAACTCTGGATAGACTGCAGTTCAAAATAACAGCCCAAGTGTAACACAAATAAGAACACTGCTAAACCAAGTAAAAGAAACATCAAAACAAATTGAAGCATACGTAAGCAAGCCAATGACCGGCTGCAAAGCCCCAGCAGCAAGAACTTCTTTTTTTATGTTCGGTGATGAATGCACCAAATTGCCTATCACACCAACCTACAATCCATAGGGGAAAAAGAGTTTGATTCTACAGCTGGCATAAAAAATCAAAAGAACTTAAACCTAGTGGACAGTGGCAAAATAATTAACTTGCGCTCCAATAACATCCTACCGCTTCATAGTGTATGGCAGCATCCTCTGATCGTAGCATGAGAATGAGAGAAGGAAGAGCGTTGCATTCAACAATCTGCAAAGTCAAAGCATTCACTCTATGACTAGCACGGAAGGCAATTTTATCCAATCAACTTCCAAAGGCAAGTCTGTTACCTGATTCTTGTTTTCATCATTTTTGAATGCTAGGGTTCGCAATGCCCCAGCAGCTGCTCTCTGCACCTTTGTATCAGTAAAATCAAGCAACTCAACAAGAGGTGGAATCCCACCTTCCATTCTGTCAAATTAATCCTGATAGTGATTACAAAGCCACAAAGCTAAACATCTAACTTGAATGAAAAACTGCACAATTTTAGCACCTGACACGGGTTTTAATGCTGCTATTCTCATGAGCAAGGTTGGTGACAGCATCAGCCGCTCTTCTAATAACACTAATCACAGCACGAGAAGTAGAACCATCCTTGTGCCGCCTCAACAAATTCACAAGATGTGATAAGGCCCCAGAATCAACTATAAGTTGCTGATGTTCTGGCTGTTCCCAGCAAAAGCAAAATAAACCTTAGCATATTCAGTTATTAAACATTTTACATACAGTAATAGTGGGACCACAAATCATGCAAAACCAAAGAAAATTACCAGACTCAAGACATAGCCAAGCTTTAGTGGCAGGATCAATAAAATTAACCACCTAAATCTATATGGCATTTTCTGCTCTAATGATACCATCTCTATGCACCAGAATCTGTTTCTTTTAATCACAGCCTATATTAACAGGTTACCACTCCTCAAACTTTCTCAAAGTTCAACTTTTTCTATATATGGTAAAATTGAAATTACATAATCATCTTATGTAAGTGTAACATTCTTTTAATAAAGAAAAAATTTGCACAAAACATCAAATATTTACTAATGCTACTAAAAAGAAATTCAAAGAAGAAAAAACGCATGCATATCACGGAACAAGTGAACTTCCAATAAATAATTCAAAAGTTAAACTACAACAGATACTAAACAAAACTACAGTACTCGATAAAATAAAAGCACGATAGTAACAACCAAATTTCTATAAAAAAATAGAAATTCAGTAAAATCACCTTTACGGCGAGAAGTCCCAGCGCAAAGGCACTTCCTTTTTCAACCTCGTGCTCGAAAGGCTTCGGGCTTCGGTCGCCGTCACTACACGGAGGCCCTTGCAGATGCTTCACTAGAGCCGGAACCGCACCACCTTCAACAATCACATTCACAACTTCCTCTGCCAAAACAAAAAATCAAAAATATTATTATTACCCTTAAACCTGAAATTCAAAAACAGTAAAAACACAATAAATTGAATGGCAATAAGTGTAAAAAAGAATGAGATCGGGGTTGGAGATTTTGAAAATTTACCGTTCTTTGCGAGCTCGGCAAGCACGTGAGTGGCTCGCTTGGCAGCGGCGCGATCAGGTTCGCGCCAAGAGAAGGTGGAGTCGAGGACGTTAACCTGAGCGGTGACTTCGGCCAAAAGAGCACGGCGGGCGTCGCCGGTAGGGAGAGAGGTTTCGCGGTCCTCTTGGTTTTCTTCCTCCAGTTTCCGTTTTTGCCCCTTTCGTTCTGGGAGGCCCTGGTCCTGGCGCTTGTGAAGCTCCATCAAGAAGGAACAAAGAAGGGAAAGCAAGATAGAGAGAGAAGGTTTTATTGGAAATGAGAATCGTCATTTGAAAGAGAGAGAGATTGGATCAAGGGTATTCTGGGGATTTAGTAAAAGAGGTAGCTTTTTCTTTCTTTTTCCTTTTTCCTCTTAAAGAAAAGGAAAGATTAATGTCGGGTTTAAACCGGCCACGTTATTTCCCGATTTCTGGCCCTTATATGCTTTAGCTTTTTTTAGATTTGATGATTAATAATTTAAGATGCTTAAAGGATCCTTATTTTTCTTTTCTTTTCCTTTTCCTTTTGTGTTAACTATTATGGAAAATAAGCATAATTACTGATTCGAAATGGATCATTAAGTTTTAATATTTTTTTGTCATTATAGATTTAGCATATATAAGTATTCTCCTTAACCATTTATAGTTTAACGTTCATATAAACTTAAAAGTTTTCATAAATTTACAAGTTTGACATTATTCAATTTTTTTCCTTATTTGCCCTTTTTATTTGTTAATAATTATTTTTTAATCATATTCAAAGTTCAATATGATATGAAAAACCATTTCATTAAATAATTACAATTAGAAGATAATAAGTTGTTTAACTAATTATTATAGAATTTTTTCTTACATTTTTCGTATTGAAATTTCATGAAGATAAAATTAAGTGATAATTAGAAAAGGAAAATGTTAATAAGACAACAACGCTTTTCAAGAAAAAAAAAAAGGAACCATTATGATATTAAGTAAGGTGATAGTTAAGAAAATAAATTATTGTTAATTTATTATTCCTTTTAAAATTGACATAAATAGTACATTAAATATAATTTTTTAAAATATCATCTTAATTATCCTCTATGAATATTGATGTTTTACAAAATAATGAAATGAATGAATGGTAAAAATAGTTAAAGTATATTTTATTTTATCTCCGTTATTTATTTGAATTTGAATTTGATGTTTTGTACCACTTTTATATTTATTTATTTTATCCTATTTATAACTGTTTATCTGTCAGCTTTTATATGCCAATAATAATGTGCAGGAGGGCAGTCCTACAGTAATAAATAAATAAATAGTTTTGTTATATCAAGTTAATAAACTTAATTATTGAAAAAACAAGGGGCTTTTTAAAGCCTTAAACCACGCAATTTCTTTTCCTCCTCAGTCCTGACGTCTATTAAAGTGCTGACTTAATGCCTGTGACCGTGAAAGCGTCGAAAGCGAGAGGGTAAGAAAACGAGTTAACGTGCCCCATGTTTGGTGAGTGGGTGGAAGCGTAGGCTCCACTTCCTTGCACGTTAGTTAATATATTTTTTTTTGGGTTTGGTTTAAAATCAGGAAAAAGAAAATCTTTGTGGTCTCTACTCTCTACCTTTTATGATTTCATGATCGCGTCGAGGATGAAATAGGCTTTGGCCTCTTCTAAGGTTCACAAATTAACACGAAATCGATTTCCCTTTTTTTAAAAAAATTCATAGATAGAACTATTCTAATTTCTAAACGTGTATAAAGTTTGTCTTTCGATTACTAACAAAGTAAAGAGTTTTCATTATGGTTGGTAATTATTGTTACTTGTAGCAGCTAAAAGTTACCGACATTGCTAGTTTTGCTCTTGTTTTATAGTTGTTAATCACTATGTTATTATGTTGTTGTTGTTCTTAAGTTTTTTCTTTTTGTGTTAATAACTTGTAATTGATCTTAAGACTTGCTTATAAGTTTTTATATTGCATTATTTTTCTCTTGTAAAGCTTCAATTTAGGACACCATTAAAGGTGATGGAAATGGCAAGGGATAAGTTTAGAACATGGAGATATTCAAGTGGGATGGACTATGGACCAGTGTTTGGGATGGTTTTGACGTTTGACTGTTTGATCGTTTGCATCGATCTAAGCTGGAAATCAGCAAGTAACGTGAAGGCATCACCTCACCCTTTTGAACCAGCCAATCAGCGGGGCTCCTGCACGTGACCAAAGCGAAGTGATATTACACGAGCTCTAATCCATGGTCCCCCTCGACGGTAACACGTGTTGGCAGGACGTGGATCGGGATTACCTTCATCAGACCCACAGATTTGGGATCCTATGAAGCATGGGATTAGGAAAGAGAGGAAAGGCGAGGGGAAGATCCTTCATGACTAAAATTAAATACTTTTATTCACTGGCTAGCCATGTACTACTTGCTATTTATTGATTCTATGCTGCCGCTCAACTAAAAAATGTCTTGTATTAGCAACATCCCACATATATGTGTAAAATAAAACGTATAAATGAGGGCTTTTAACTTTATAAAAAATGAAGAATAATTGTAGGTGGAAAAATATTTAGATTTTTGGCATAATATTTTAGGAATTTTTTAAATTATTTTAATTTTTTAAATAAATTCTTTTTTTACTACATTAAAATTAATTTATATATTTTTATTTTTAATCAAATATATTTTTACTATTAATAATTAATTAACTATTTTTAATTAAAATGTCATTGGTTATTTTATATCCATATGACATTGACATGTAAAATAAAAAATATTTTGTAATAATGTTATCATATCACATTAGTGTGTTTTATAATTATCTATTAAAACATGTCAACATACCATACCAATACTACATGATATAGAATAAAATATGATATTTTAAGTAATAACAATTAACCAATTAATAATTATAATAGTTTATTTGATTTAAAATATAATATAAATATTTAATTTAATATAATAAAAAAAATCGAAAGGTAGTAGAGATTGTTGGAAAAAACAATAGACTCTACATTTTAAGCATAAAATCATTTTGGATTTGTTGTATACTAATATGTATACTTTTGTTAAGTGAACGATAAAATACAGATTTTAGAGAATGAATTTGTCAAATTTAATTTAAAAATTTTTAACAAAATTTTAACTACCATTATTTGAAATTACTTGAAAAAACACTCATTAAAGTGATTCAAGAGAAAGGACTACAGTTTTCCCTTTAAGCTCTTTGATAAGTAGACTCTTTTAAGTTAACTATGTTACTGTCTTGTTCAATATTTCTCCTGTTTTATCTACACCTTTTCTTGAGTAAATTAGTCTATGAGATTTTGTCATAAAGATAAGAAGAAGATTTTGACACTTTTAAACTTGAGTTTAATTTAATTTTATATTATTTTTATTTGATCTATTATTAATTTCTTTTATGGATATAGTACTTGTTTATATTGAAAGTTGTTTAATTATAAATATAATTTTCGCATGCAACATGTAAAAGTTATAAAGAAACAAATTAAGTAACTTGAATTAGAAGCCTTTACCTTAAATACGTAGCATATGGTTATATACTTACATGGTTAAGTTACAACAGTCACTTATTAGTGCTACACCACCACTTATAGTTTATCACAAGTAAGTTTCATTTTATATACATATATGATTAATTCATTAATGAAAATGTTGTCTCCTATCTGCCTAACATTCAATATCATAAAGTACTGATCTTGAGTTGTTCAATTAAACTTTGTTTTCGAGCTAAATTATTGACATATTACAATTTTTATCTCGAATAGCACAAGTATAATATATATTATATTAACCCAATGTTAGGTTTCTTTTAAGCGCTTACTTCTTATTAGTTACAAATTATTATTAACCTGAGAAATTAGTCTAATTTTATTTTTTATTTAAATGTGATTTTTTACTTTTTGTTGCGCTGTTTTTTTTTTTTGGG